CAAAAATTCAACTTTGCCCCCGGGCACCCCGGACTCACCCGCGCACCCTCCGGAACAACCGAAATTCAACACCGAACGAAATAAGAACTAGGAAACCATTCCCGGAAGTTTCAATCCAACGAAAATAAAAAGAGAATGAAGCGAAAAAAGAAAGAAGAAAAGGGAAAAAGAAGGTCGGTCGTCACAAAGGAGTTTTTTTTAAATGTTACATTGTTCCGTTTGAGAAAAGTACAATGTTACATTGTTACGTTTGAGAAAAGTATACTAAGAAATTTTTTGTTGTGTTACATTGGAGTGTTATGTTTGGAAAAAATACACTACTAAATTTTTTAGTGTTACATTGATTGGAGTCCTACATTTGGAAAAAGTATACTAAGGAATTTTTGTGAAATATTACGTTTAAGAAAAATATACTAATAAATTTTTTAGTGCGTTACATTAGAGTATTACATTTTCGGAGTGTGACATTGATGTGTTACGTTTTGAAAAAATATACTAACGAGTTTTTTTAAAGTTTTACGTTTAGTAATTTCAATATTATGAGACAACCTACATTTGTCTCTCAACACATAACACATGTAAATTTATACTTAGCCTTTTATGTAATTCAAATTAGAATGAGACTTTTAAGTATATAAGAAAAAATGAAAGACTAAACAGTTTATATGATTATTATTTGTGATTTATTTTTTATAGTAGTGATTTATTTTTAATTTTGTAGGATAGAATTATTGTTAAAAAAGTTGATACATTTAGAAAAATGCCAAAAAAAAATTGCTTTTATGATTGACATTTGTGTTTTTTCTTTCTTTCTTCTCCTTTTTTTTTTCTTTTTTTTTTTTGTCTTTAGTAAAAAGAATTAGATTTTAAATTTTTATTTTATTTATTTATTTTCTAGTACTTGCCATATAGGGGTGGATCATGTTGAATTTTTATTTTTTTTATTTTTAGCTAATTAAGCTAAATCCAAATTGGCAAAACCATTTTGTTTATATAGCCAATAAATTACTTTTTTAAGTGAAAACAAACAGATGCATATGCAATCAGTCAGTTTTAGTACGTAATTTTAGTTTTCATATAATCACTAGTTCTAGTACATACTAGATGGCTCAACCATTAAACTATTAAGACTGTCGCTCAAGACTCACCAAAAAAAAATTTAAAAAATCTTGCTACAAAGAGTTTCGATTTTTCAAATGCCAACTAAGATAAATCTCATTTTGATGTTTGGTTGGTTTGATGCTAAAAAATCTCTTAGGCCGCTATTGCATTGAAGTCACAATCTAGCATGCTAGTCCTCTTTATACAGCACATAGCCAAATGCTTTATTGCTTCTCCAAGATGCAACAGATTTTGACTTAAAAACATTTTGGGTTAATTATGCCAATAGCTTCTCAATTATTAGTGAATATTATTTTACCTTATCATCTATGAATTTGTATATTTTAATCTCTTCAATTATAAAAATATATCATTTTTACCTTTTCATGCCACCTCTGAAATAGACGTATTTATATAATTTTTAAGTTGAGAAAATCAATATGTATAGATTCATAGATAGGAGGCATTACTAACCAATACCCTTTATTTATTAACGAATATCACTTTATCCTTTCATTTATGAATTTGTGTATTTTGACTTTTTTAACTTTGAAAATGTATCACTTTCACCCATTCCAAACAACCTCCAAAAAGGGTGCATTTGCATGGTTTTCAAAGTTGAGAGGGTAATTATGTATAAATTCATAAATGAAAAGAATAAAGTGTTATTCGCTAATAATTAAGGATGTTTTGATATAATTAATCCAAATATTTTTAAGTGCAGGCAGGCAGGCAGGTTTAAGATCAACAACTAATAAGGACAAGAAGAGTGACCAATAATATGGCATTGGTGGCTGGAAGGAAAGGAAAGCAACTTCACTGATCTGGAATCCATATATCATCCTTCCTCATTATCTCTGATTTCAGTCAAATCTATCACTTTTTTCCCTGATTTCAACCATTCTCTCACTTTTTCCCTGATTTCAACCAATATTGGTACCAACCTCTTGAAAGGTGGGGAACCAAACCAAACAACTTGTCCTCTCCTTATAAATGCAATGAGAAAACTACCCACCTAGCCAAAGTTGATGCACATCTGGCTGCATTCAAGGATTTGGGGGTAATTGTGGCATCCCAGTATTAGGGGTGCACAAAATACCTAAGTAAACTGAAGAATCGAATCAATTCAATTTTTTTTTTTTGGTTGGTTTAGTTCGATTTTTGAGTACACTAGTTTGGTTTTAGGTCTTCAAAGTATTAATATAATAGGATTGAATTGGTTCTTAGTTTAGGCCTAAACCGAACCGACCGGAGAATCAAACCTATTACATGTAAAATTCTATTTTTATTGACATGTTTTCACATAATTGGTCTATTATAATGGACTTAACTGCATTTAACGATTCTCATGTAAAGAAAATATTTTTGAATTTAATTTGTATGGTTGTGTTTAATCTTGAGTTGGACTTCACTATAATATTCACAGTTGTTGGCATGTACAAAATAATATTTTGTTCTTTATTTGGCTTATATTTAAATATTAAAAATTTTGTTTATTTTAATTATTTATTATTGATATCGGTTTAGTCATGGATTCAAAAATTTAGAACTAATCATAATTGGATTAGTTCTAATTTTAGTGTTAACTCGAACCAAACCAATCCATGTACACCCTCGCCAAATTTGGGGTCATTGTTGTGCATTGCATACAACAGTAACTGTTATGTGACTTGTGAGACTCACTTCGGGTCATATTTTGATGATCCGTCCTGTTCAATTTTTAAGGAGTATTCAATAAAACATATTTGTAGGTAGTCAAATTGATCAGACATCAGTAGTCTATTCATCAAGTCACAGTCATATTCAATTTGATACTTACAAATTCATTTTGTTTATATACAAATATGAGTTGATAAAGGGCATATCAATATCCGATCATTTCAATGTTCTACAGATATATTCTAGGCGATATTTTTTAAAAAATAAATAATTTAAATTATCAAAATGAAACCCGAAACGAATCTCACAAACCGCACAACAGTCACTACTTAGGCATTGCGCACAGTGACCCCAAGTTAATCCTAGCCAGTATAATTTGATAGGAAATAAACACAGTAGTATACTAGTATGAAATCAAGTGCCTTTTTGCAATAATAAAAGAGAGATTCTAGGCTTCTTAATGATCAGGGATATTATGTTCTAAAAACTTGTCTCTCTTTTTAATACTCTCCCAACTATTTGATTGATATTTGTAAAAAATTAAAAAATTAATAATTAATTAATTGTTACCCATAAAAATAATTAATATTTTATTTGGTTATTTAGTTACCCATAAAAATTGAAAATGTATAGACAAACAGCCAAAGAGTGAGAGATGCACACTCCCACTACATGATTGATTACCCATAAAAAAATGAATATATATTTTATTTGGTTATTTGGTTACCCATAAAAATTGAAAATATATAGACAAACAGTCAAAGAGTGAGAGATACACAATTATAAAAAATGGACTAATAAATGTAAAAAGTTAAGCAAGAAATACAAAATACTTACAACCGCTAGATTATATATCTCAAGAATCTCATGTGTTGAAATTATCACATAATTTTTGTGTGTATTAAAATGGAAGCCAGAGAGTAGTGGTTGAAAGCAATGATTAACACAATAATTAAAGCTTTCACCAACCCACTGACCTTTAACTGTTCCTCTTAATCAATGCCATCCTAGCCCTAGGCTTTCAACAACAAGCAGTCAAAATGAAACATATTCATTATCATTGGATTCCTAATTCTCTTTAATTTTAGTACAACCTAAAATGTTCTGTTAATTCAAGACATACCGTGGACAAGCACAGCTCCGCCTATATTAGCTGTGTATTTGAAGCAACCTCCCTCTAGAGAGGAAAGAAAGCAAATTAAAAGACAAACAGAGACAATATCCTTGTAAAAATAACACTAGAGAGCCACAAAAATGCTGCTCAGAAAAGCCATTCACAAGACCAAGATCTTCTTTCACAAAACCCTTCAAAACCTCAAGTCATTTCTCTTTGGGGGCTACCAAAAACTCCCCAAAGCTCATCCTCTCAACCCCCTATATTGCAACAACCCAAACATAGAGCAATTGGATCAATTCTACCAAGACTTCTCTGAGCAGTGGAAGTCTGATAATGACAAGGTGGTGAAGACAAGCAAGAAGTCTATAAAATCAAGCAAACTGCCGATGAATGAGGAAGATACTTGTATCGAAGAGCAGCGTGCTCCAAAGAACAAACATGAATTAGAGAAGAAGATAGGAAAAAGGGAAGACGGTTATATGTTGGCACAGAGGATGTTGATGAACGAGTTGGAGATGATGGACATGAACAATGATGTGGATTATGTGTTGGACATAGAAGAGGTGCTACACTACTATTCACGCCTTACGTGCCCGGTTTACCTTGACATTGTCGACAAGTTTTTCATTGATATGTCCTCCGAGTTCTTTCATCGCGGAGACTCAGCCCTTTGATGCTCTAGACACACTGCAGCCAATGCTTTCTTCACTGTGCAATATGAATCTACATTCGATTCCTCTATGTGTGTCCATGTGTGACGGTAGTCTGTATGTCTACATGAGTGTGGTTCTGTTTTTTCAACTCTGTAAACCTCTCTCTGCTAATTGCTAGTGTCTTTGCCATGTGTATGTATGGCTTTAGCTCATGTTCTTCTTTTTATCAGGAAAAAAAAATGAATAAAAAAAATTCATATGCATCCAGTTTCACTAGGAGACATTAGGACCCTATGACCAATCTTTACTAAAAAAAAAAAAAAAAATCCTTAATATTTGTGTGTCTTCATTTTCTAGAGTCATATTTCTTCTACATGTAGTTTTGGGTATAAATTTTTTTAGAATCACATAATCACAAGAAAAATCCCACATCCAAACGCATCACTATCATGGCTAGAGAATTCTTTTTACCGATTGGATGAGTCAATTAACATCCTATGAGAAATTTTCATCATTTCTTCCATTTAATGAACAAATCATAACATACGATTGCAAAATTTCATTCCAGACTACTTAACAATCACAAAACTAAGATTAACTTGGGACTCAGGACACATTTGAACAACTGAGATTGGAAAGCTCCATCATTGCCACAGCAAAGTCCTTCCTGAACAACGAAACAGCTGAGGCATACACTCTAACCCAACTTTCAGTTTCTTTGCCAACTGTCAGCTGCTGATCAACATAAAGGATTCCTCTATCCTCCAGAAGACTACGGTAGTACAACATGCCAAAACCCGATCCCCGTGATGCATGGCCCATCTCCATTCTTGCCTCCTCAGGTGAGGAAGATACTGCGCCATCAACAGAAATGGTGATGGTGAGCCGTTGACAAAATGCGGTGATGATGATCGTGATGTGCGGCCGTTGTTGCATCTTGACCTCAGGAGATTGACGACTTCGATGTCTATAGTTGGGTCAGGCTCATCAGTCCAGCCAAAGTTGTAAAGCCGGTTGAGGATGAATTTGCCGCCAATTGTTCCAATGCTGTGAGCACCTATGCAGCAAAGGAAAGAAAATAAAAACCCAAATTTTAGCACTATTTCCAAAACAACAAAACCACGTTTGGTCATATATTTCAGATTGGATTATACATCAAGAGAAGAAATAAAAAAATTCACCAAATGGATATGAATGAACCTTTTATATGACCCATATCTGAGATTTCATTGACAAGAAAATGGCTGAAACATAAGATACCCATTCAATCGAACATGAAATGCAATCATTATTCTTATGTTTTTGTAGGCAAGAAATGAAACTCATCCTAACCACCCTTTATATTATAATCCCTTTTTCAGTGTTCTAAATCATGATATCTTTAAAATAAAATGAAAGTTTTAAGTACTTCACTTTTTATGAGTTCTATTGAGAAACCAAATAGACCAATTTAAGACAAATTTAGCTCTTCTTAAACGAGGTAGAGAATTTAAATTGCGATAATCTAAGAGAAATCGGGACTCAAGCCAATTGATAAACATAACAATAATGCAAATAGATCAAAGATATTAAACAATTCTTTTCAGTGAGAAATCAAGGGTGAAAGAAAGTGAGAAAGGAAATTTTTTTAGTACCTAAGAGACTGACCGTCTCTCTTTCATCAAATTCCCTTAATGCAAACGATGTGATGGTTTGATGGAGATCGTCTTGGGGACTAGGAAGTTCGTATGTTGCAATTTCTGAGAAAGAAAGATTGCTGTCTCTCCTACCAGTTTTCAGGTAGAATGGGCCACCACCCTGAAATTCAAGGTACAGTTCTAAATGAGATGACACACTAGAGAGAGAGAGAACAAATCGGAACAACACTTTCTCTAGCAGCCAAGACAAAAATATCAGCACAAGAAACTACTCCAGGGCAAGCTTCTTTGAGCTTCGATTTGATGATGTCAATTAGATCAAAGCCTTTCAAGGTTTCATTTGGAGGAGACTCTTTCTCTCTGTCAACTCCATCAATGGCATCCAACATCTTTTCCAAAATCTTTCAATTTTAATAAGCTTTAAACTTTTTTTATGGATGCTTTTTTAGTTAGTATTCAGATTTTTACATTTTGCTTTTTTAATTTTTTTTTTTAATTTTAATGGGGTTTTGGCTTTTACCGAAAGCCAAAATTCAAATAAAAAAGGTAGCAAAAAAGCTGGTCCAAAGAAGGTATAATCCTACTTGAAGAAAAAGATAAGCCAGTGCAAACTATCACTAACCTCTCTAACTATATCCATTGTCTCCTCCACTTGTCTCCTATGAGCGTTGACAAGATCTTCCTCTTCCTGAAACACAGAACACAACCATAAGAGTCAATGATATGGAACCTTAGCTGATAAAAAAATGTCCAAAGACAACCTTACCTTTAATAGGGCCTTCAAATCATTATCTGGATGCAAGTTTTTTGCATCGAATTTTGGTGGGTCCTTCCATTTTGTCTGCCCAATGGATCTCCTCACTTTATCTTCTGAATTCGAGATACCATATGATTCCACTTTCCCATTCTTCTTCCATAATGGCTTCTCTGGCTCTTGGAATTCTTCTGAAACATCAAATTCATCCCTATCAGCTTGTTCAAACCATGAATCATCAATATCATCTTCAAAGGTTGGCCCAGGTGGTAAGATTGATGATACAGGCATCGTTGTTGATTCCTTCAGGTTTAGTGTCAATGACAAAGTATCCTTCTTGGAATTGTTCCCTTTTGAAAGGCTTTTCACCCTAAAAAGTAGTATTTGTGAGAGACATAGCTAAGTCACACAGAAACAAGGGGAGAAAGAAAATAAAAAACCTACAAATGAAAGGCATAAATTTTTGTTATCAAAAGATTGTCAGTACCTGTCAGCATATCTTAAGGTGTTAAGAGTATGTTCACAAGATCCAGAGTTCGGAGAAATGCAAGAGATCATAACAGTCCGAGAGTTTCCAACGAATGAATCCCTCAGGACTTCAGTTAGTTTACTGCCTCTGAAAGGAATATGACCCTGATCATTATCAAGCGCTCTTATGCACTCTTTCAATGCAAGCAAACTTTTATTGATCTCAGCACCTTCCATTCTGCATTAGATGTTTTAAAACACCTTAGAGAAAATAGAAAAGAAAAATAAATTGTGACTGTATCGCAAGACTAACTACCATCAGAAAAATATATATATATATTTAGGCCAAGTTTGGAAAGACTAAATAAGTGTATTTTTGACTTTTTATGAAATATGGATTGGATTTGGGTTGGGTTTGAAGTGATGTGTTAGAGAGGTGATGTGACTTGAACAAGATGATGTGACTTAAATAGGATAGTGACTTTTTGACTTTTTAGATTTTTTGGAGGATGCCAAACTTGGCCTTAGTAGACTGACAACATTTACAAGAAATATAGTACGATGACTAATTATTTTTTATGAAGGAATAGCCCCAAGACAAATGGTCAAATATATCCATTTGAAATGAATTCTGTCATGGGGAGCCCATATTTAATGCTGTGTTTGGATCATAGATTTGGGTAAGGATTTAAAAAGGAAAATGCTATGCATTCCAAATGATTTACAAAATTTTCTACCAAATCTCTCACATGAGTGTGGGATCCACACAAACCCACATGTGTGTGGTCCCATACTCATGCGAGAGGTTTGATAGAAAATTTGATAAATTATTTGGGGTCTTTAGCATAACTCATTTGGAAATGGAAAGGAAAACGCGAGTGAAATAGAGAAAAAATGTAGCTCATATTTCATTCAAAAGGAAAAGTGAGCTTACACTGATTCTCCTTTGCAAATCCCTTCTTGAATCCATGATCCAAACACAGCCTACAAGTTACGCATCTTGTCAAGGGGGGAAAAAATAAAAGGGAAAAGTGATATAAACCTTGTCTGCTTGTCATTGTCAGTTGTGTCCGCACCACGTTCACTTCCAGCAAGATCTATGAAGGAGAGCTTGCCAACAACTCTGGGAGGCTTAGATTCATAGCCATCAGCTAACCTTTTAATAACAAGCTGAAGTGTAGCATGTGATCGTGAGGATTCCTCATTTGCACCAGTTGTGCCTGTGCTTCTTGTAGCATTTCCTTTCTCAATGAGGTCCTTGATTGTCTCCACATCTGATACTTTGTACTCTTGCAAACCCACAATGCAAACTTGCTGTTTACCATCCTCTCTCATGCAAAGTTTCCTGAACAAGTAGAGGATTAAATTTCATGAAAATCTGAAGTCTACGAATGGTAACATAGAATTCCACCAGGACGTAAAAATAGAACTTACTTTCGATCACTGAGGAGATCATAAAGCTTTCCTCCGTATATCTCAAAGAAGCTGACAAACAATTGAAAGCCTTGGTTCCGGTAAGTATGGTGCATGAGCCTCAAGATATCCCGGGATGCCTTGATGGGCAATGGTTTCATAGTGTAGGTTTTTCCATTTCCTGAACAAGTAAACAATCAGTCATTGAAAGCTTACGGTAAGTAAAAAATAAAAAAATAAAAAAAAGACATCCGATAGTAGAAACCCACGTGAGTATGAGATACATCACAAGTTCATTGGTTTAAACAGGAAAAGGCAAATAATTTTCCCATTTCCTTGTCCAATTTTGAGGTATTCATTTTAAAGATGTTTGGAGAAAACAATGATTTACATTCACTAAAAACTAGAAATGTAGTTAGAAAATCCAAGCATTTAACCACACACACACACACACGTTTATCTTCAGCAAGATCTCAACCATGATTAAGCAACAAAATGGGGTTAAATTCAGAGTAAGTGGATGGATAAAAAAAATACAACTTTAACAAACATCATGGATTGTACAATGCAGAAGCTGAATAAATTGAGTGGCTGAAATCAGTCACTTCCTGTTTTCTCTCAAATATCACTGACCTCCCATTAAAAATGTATATAACACTTGAGTCCATCCCTTAGTCAGTCGTTTATTGACCAAATGCAAATTGCTGATGTTAGTACAAAAAAATTAGAAAATGCCCAATTTACCCTTAATAATACACAACTCTTTCTCTTACATCTAACACCATCAATTCTCTCTGTTCCATTGTTGTCGGCAACACAACTAGTAGTGCATCAAAACCCAACAAATTTACTCACAACCCAATCACCACTAGTACTGCATCAAAACCCAACAAATTTACTCACAACCCAACCACCTAACAACATTTATACCATCATTTCTGTCTCCTCTCCCTTTCCCCACTGACACCCACCACCCTCTTCCTCTGTGGCACTTCAACCACTTGCCATTAGCCATTGGCTACCAACCATGGGCCACTTTCCACAGGGCACTACTAGCCACTCCACCAACACTTGCATTACTATCTTCTCCCTCCCCTCCCCTTCCCCACACTAAGACCCACCACCATTGTCTTCCTCTTCCACAAGCCACCAATCACTTGCAACCAGCTACCAACCTATAGACACCCCATTTTGACCGACCTTAAGACTTGAGCGCTTTCTTTTGATCACCTGATGATGAAATCAAGAAGATGTTTCTCATAAAATCCTCAATAAGAACATAGAATTTGAGCTTTATTTCCAACCCTAAACCTATTTTGGCCAATTGTTTTAATTAGAAACAAGTCTTCTTGTCTCTGACATGTCTTTTCCCAAAAAAAGAAACAAAAATGCTGGTGAAGGGGTTTGAATCCCCAACCAAAGACTCCACATCCTAAACCTTAACCACTCTGCCAAAGCATCACCTTGTGTTATATTTCCCTCCAAATAATATTTGACAATTTCAAACCAACGGGCAGAGAAGGTGTATTTTTGCATTTTTTTTGTGTGTGTATGGGACACTCTCCTACCCCATTGGCTAACCCATATATCACCAAATACATACCTAATCATCCCCCAATTGTCAAAAAGAAATTTGTTTGCATCCACAAAAGAGGGATCTAATCTAACCACCTTGAAAACTTTGCCCTCCAATCACATTCTTGTCTCTCGCCTTCTTTTTTACTTTCACTCTCCCTCATTGCCTATATAGAATGATCAGATTGTAAGAGAGAAGGAGGACTACAAAATTAAAGAGAAAAGAGTGAAAAAAAAAAGAGAGAAAAAAAGAAGAAGAGAAAATTCAAGTTTTGAGCCAAAAAAACTTCCATCTTCCATATACACCTTCCATGGATTATACATACTGAAATTCCACCTTTTATACATCCAAAACAACTCCAAAAATTCTGAAATAGCTAAATTTCAATAGTGATTGATCAAAGGAAAGACTGAGTGTTGTTGAAAGTGAGGAAAAATAAGAGAGTTAGCCACTTTTCCACCACACATACCCAGAGCTCCATTCTAGTTTCGAATTGAGGATAGAAAACATACTTCCTAAACTTCAAGGTGATCAAGAGGAAGTTTGGAAATCAAAAAGTTCAATATTTCTTTGGAATGCAGGTTTTGCTCGGCCTAGTTAGGCCGGTAGGTTAGCTTCTTTTGGACAAGATGGCGTAATCTCCCAATGTTGACCAATTTTCGCCGACGGTTCCAAGGAACATGAAACTTTTATTTTGTTTACTTTTATTTTGAGTGGTTTGTGAGGTTATGTTTTATTTTATTGCAATATTCCCTCCTCTCTCTCTTATTTGGTTTGCAATAATTTATTCAAAGTATTGCAATAATTTCCCACTCCACTTCTTTCAATCCCGTTCTTTTACTTGCTTTCCTTATTTGTGGATATACATCATTTTTTTTTAATATATTCTTGTTATGCATTCATGTTTCATGCATCTTGATTAGGTGAATTTTGCATTTGTGGATTTAATCAATTCCAATGTAGTTATGTGCACTACCTCATGTTCTTGAGATGATCCCCATGTCATATCTTAGAAGCCGAATCTTTAGCTGCATCTCATGTGTAAATTGTATTAGGATTTTGTATATAAGATCATGCATTTTTGCTAACTTTGTTTTGTAGCTGTTCACGGGACGTCGGTAAATATGTAATTTTTTATACTTTGACATCCTGCTTGTGTGTGCCTTTCTTATTATGTTTAGTATCCTACTATGAGGTTATTTGCTTATTTGATATAACTGTATGAGTGCCGGCGGATGGAGGTCGTGTCGCTTAATTTGGAATAATGTTGATTTTCATGTTTGTAAACTCAATTTATTTGGATTGTACATCTTCAAAACTCTTTCAAAACTACATGAAATCAAGATGTTCCAAAGTGGGTGACATAGCCTATACTTGTATGCTTCACATAGTAATTTTTTAGAATTTATTAAATAATCGGAATATGAACACATAAAGGAAATAAAAATCATATCATGGTTAGTAAAGGCTGATTTTTGAACACATAAAGGAAATAAAAATCATATCATGGTTAGTAAAGGCTGATTTTTTGATCGGGTGAGCAGGGGTGCTCACTTAATGACCTTCCCCTCATCATACCTAAGGTTCTGAGCGAAGCATCCTTGGTTATGACGAATAGTGACTTGGCATGAGTCACGGGTTTCCTAATTTTTCCAAAATAAATATTAGGTAGTGACTCTGAGATCTGATAACGCGGTCCATTTTTGGCAAATGTTTTTTCAATAAAATGAATTTTCTAAAAGTTGCCAAATGTGGACTCTCGTCTACGTTTCACATTGCACTTGTGAGACTAGATCAAAGAGACCGAGGGTCTGAATTGTTTAATGTGCACGGGTACTCCCCGAGCATGTTACAGTTTCTAGCGACTCTGCTAGGGATATTATGAAACCTTGACTCGAACTCCATGATGACTTTTATTTTCAATTATATGTTCATTGCATTGGTGCACTTCAAGTCTCTATGTTGCCCAGATATGGGAAAGCCATTACACAGAATTAACATAATCTTGTTGTGTTCTTGTTTGGTAGTTTGGAATTACGACAGCAACAAAGATTTAGTATTGCAAGTGAGCAAGAGAGACTATGTAACCTACAACACTTCGAGCCCCATTACAGAGTAAAAGGACGGTAACACTAAGGTGAGACTCGATAAAGCAGGACCATTCTACTTCATTAGTGGAGCTGAGGGACACTGCAAGAAGGGATAGAGGCTGATTGTTGTGGTCATGTCTGAGAGACATAAGAGGCACTTGGGAATTGCTCCGGCACCATCTCCCTTTGAGTTCCAAGGTCCATCCATTGCACCGACTAGTGGTGCCACCAGGTTCCAGGGTGGTTTAGTGGTGGTGACATTTGTTGTTTTGGCTGGGTTGGGTTTGATGTGTATTTTTAATTTAGTACTATTCAATTGATTTGATTTATATATTTAATGTGGGGAGAGAAAATGAGATGTATTTTTTGGGGTGAATGATTTGATTTTTTATGTATATGAGTTGACACTAGATGTTGTTGAGCTACACAGCTAAAATTCAATATAAATTCATTTATTTATTTAATGTACAGTGCCTTTTTATTCGGATAAATTACATTGCCATCCTTGGAGTTTGATTTAATACAAAATTTCTCTATATTTCAAAAAGTACTCTTTTCTTCTTTTCTTTTTGATAATTGCATGTCGAGTTTGAATACCCCTCAACTAATCTCAGAGTTTGGAGTTAACGATTGAACAAATTTCTACCACCCATCATCACAACTACCACCACTTTCCCTCTTCCATCTACTTCTCTAGTAATGACTCAATCATTAGAAAACTTAAGTATGCTCGACTAAGGTTCTGTACAAAAGAGAACCCATTGTTTTTAATATTATACACATATATCACATCAAAATAAATACATTACACATAATGAAAATAAATATATTAATAACATAACTTTTTTTTTTTTTAAATCTAACAAATATAATTAATACCCTGTATTAATTTTCTTTTCTAGCATTTTTAAATCTAACAAATATAATTAATACCCTGTATTAATTTTCTTTTCTAGCAACAGGCTCAAAATGGTAGCATTGCCCTAAGTCCATCGGTCCACACAATTGTCAATGAAAAGAAAGTGAAGAAATTTTTTCAGAGAATTAGGGAATACAGGGTAAGGCTGAATCCACAGAAATACACCTTTGGGGAGTTCAAGTCAAGGTTTCATAATATCTCCAATAGGGTTACCAGAAACTGTAACATGCCCGAGGAGCACCCGTGCACGTTAAACAGTTCGGACCGTCAGTCTCTTTGATCTAGTCTCACAAGTGCAATGTGAAATGAAGACGAGAGTCCACATTTGGCAACTTTTAAAAAATTCATTTTATTGCAAAGACATTTTCTAGAAATGGACTGCGTCATCAGATCTCAGAGTCACCACATAATATTTATTTTAGAAAAATTAGGAAACCCATGACTCGTGCCAAGGCCACTGTTTGTCGTAACCAAGGATGCTTGGCTCAGAACCTTAGGTATGAAGGGCGAAGGTCATTAAGTGAGCACCTCCACTCACCCGATCAAAAAATCGGCCTTTACTAACCATGATATGATTTTTATTTCCTTTATGTGTTTCATATTCTGATTATTTAATAAATCCTAAAAAATTACTATGTGAAGCATACAAGTATAGACTATGTCACCCATTTT